TTGCTTTGCAGTCGTTTAACGTTTTTTTTTTGCGTTCATCTGTCAGATTTTTTGGCATTGCCACTTTGCGGCCTCTTAACTCGTTTTTCATTCTCGTTTAACCTTCGGGTTTCATTCTAACCTTCAGGTTCTATTTTTAACCTTCGGGTTTTATTTTAACAGCATTGTCGTTTCAAGACCGTCTCTTGGTCTCAAATTAACGGCATCGCCGTTTTAAACCGTCTCTTAGCCTCAAACGAACGGCATTGCCGTTTCGCAGTCAGTAACGACATCGTCGTTTCAATCCATCTTGACGTCTTAACGTCTCAACATTGCTGTTATGGCTCCTTCAGAGAAGATTCCCAAATCATCTTTGCCCCTCAATGATCAAAGTGACTAGGCAGAATGATCCACCATTTGTCACCAATACCTTACGTGACGCTGGTTTGCTTGATCATCTCACTAGTACGGGACCAGTTCCACCGTCCATCAGCATTATTGCTTTATCCAGTACTATTACCTCTGGCAGTGGTGATGTCAATCTTCAGACTGCTCGTGCTCTTTGTGTCAAGGAAAGTTCAGACTGGCAATTGCAGGAATTTCGTGTCATAGATTATCTCACTCGTTGTGTTGGCTCTGGTCTCACTGTCGAGATTGGCTCGCTTTCCTCTGCTCGGGCCATGTGGACTCATTTCATTGAGCGTTTCACTGAGTGCTTGGGTACACGAGAGGCATATCTTCTACAACGCATTGCTCTACAACGCAAAGGTAGTTCATCTCTGCAGTCCTATTTTGGAAAAATGCAAGCTTTTTTGACAAAGTTACGCTTCATGCTTCCTGGATGTAACTCCACATATGAAAACTGGCTAGCCTGGTAAGAACGGCATGAGGTGCATCAACTGTTTTAGTCTCTTCCTGAATATTCAACTATGGCTGATCAACTACTTCATCAGCCTTAATTTTTAACTTTGACCTCGGTTATGGGAGCTCTCACTGCTTATGAGACCCGGCAACATACAACACGACTCAATTTGTCAACAGATACTCCTACTTCTTCACTCGAGACTGGCTCCTATTATGAATCATACTTCTCCACAGGCTCCCTCTCCACAGGCTCGGTCTAAGCTTTCTTGTAAATATTGCAAGAATGAATGACACCGCATTAAGACATGTTTCAAGCTTCATACTGAGTTACGTTCCTCAGGTATTGGTCGTGGTCGGCGACCCCCTCAGTCTCAACCCTCTCGTACACCAGGATTGCTGGCCAATACTATACCTTCTACTACTTTAGACTCTACTATTCAAGCTTTTGAAAGTCTTCGTCGTCAACTTGATGTTTTTCAACATATCACCTCTACATCCGCCACACAACTCTCTGGTATGTATTTTGCTGGTTCTTCAGTTAATCCTTCAGTCTCTAGTATGAATGATCTCTGGATTTTTGACTCTGGCTGTTCCTTTCATATGACTTGTAATACCTCACTTTTATCCTGTCTTTACTTCATCCTCTCTCCCCCTATCTACACAGCTGTTGGACAGCCATTGTCCATTACTCGGTATGACTCTATTACCCCCACAAAAATAATCCATCTAGTCGTCTAACACTTGGTCTCTTCTATGTGGCTCCCCAGCTGTGCTTGAATTTAATTTCCATTAGTTCTTTATACATGGCGGGTCTGTTTGTCTCATTTTCTTTTGATACTTGTATTGTGCAGGATCCACAGACGAGCAAGATGGTTGGGGCGGGTCGTAGGAGGCACAAGCTGTATTTTCTGGAATATCTTCACCCTCCAGAGTCTATACGTCCACGTTCTCTTGTTGCTTCTGTTCGTTCGTCAAAACCCTCTACCTCGCTTCCTGCCAATTTATGACATAGACAACTTGGTCATGTATCTAATAAAAGGCTGAAGAGTCTTATTCAATCTGGAGTACTTGGTCCTGTATCATCTAGTTCTAGTATTGAGTCATGTACTGGTTGCAAATTGGCTAAATTCACTGCTTTACCATTTAAAATGAGTACATCTGCATCCACTTCCTTATTTGATTTAGTACATTCTGATATTTGGGGGCCAGCTCATTTGTCTTCTTCATCTGGCTACTTATATTATGTTAGTTTTATTAATGATTTCTCTCGTTTTACATGGGTTTACCTACTTAAGAATCGCTCTGACGTACTTACTGCTTATCAAGCCTTTACTGCTACGATTTTCACTCAATGACAATTTCATATTAAAGTTTTTCATTCTGATTGTGCTAAAGAATACATATCCTCTACCATGTGCTCTATTATATCCTCTCATGGGACTATCTTTCAACAGCCATGTCCCTACACTCATGAGCAAAATGGTGTTACTAAACGTAAACATCATTATATCCTCGATACTGCTCGATCCATGCTCATTTCTTACTCTGTTCCTTGTCGTTTCTGGGCTGAGGCCATTCTCACCATGACTCATGCCATTAATATCACTCCATCTAGCTCTCTTTCCGATGCTACTCATTATAGTCGTGTTTATACTCATCCTCCCCGTTATGATCTAGTCCGCGTTTTTGGTTGTCGATGTTTTGTTCTTCTGTCATCTCATGAACGTGATAAATTATCTCCCAAAGCTGTTTCTTGTATTTATTTAGGAATTAGTTCAGAACATCGAGGTTATTGTTGTTATGATCCCGCAACTCGTCGAGTTCATATATCTCATCATGTTCAGTTCGAAGAGGATTCTCCATATTATTCTGCTTCTGATGACTTTAATTTCCTTCACTCTACTGATCATGCTTCCCCGTCAACTGTATCACTCACTTCTTCACCTCAGTTTTTCTTTCGAGATCTCCCTGACATCTCTCCCTCTCCTTCTATTGACTCTTCCTCACCTGAGCATTTTCTTACATCATCTAATCCCTATCCCGTGGACACAACTCTCACTCCAAAAAATATTGTTGATCTCCACGCACCTGCGCCAGCATCTCCCCTGCCTGAGGTTCCTCTTGCTCTTCGTCGAGGCAAACGCCCACATGTCATGCCTGTCCGGTATGCTTCGGTTACTTCCTATTCACCTATCTTTCATAACTTTCTTGCTGCTATTCATATTACTATTGAGCCAAAGTCCTTTCAAGAGGTAGTTCAAATTCCAAAGTGGCGTAGTTCAAATTCCAAAGTGGCGACAGGCTATGACCGAGGAATTTCAAGCCGTTTAGCAAACTCATACCTGAGATGTTGTTTCCTGTCCTCCTGAGATCTCTCTTATTGGCAGTAAATGGGTTTATAAGGTCAAGTTTCATCCTGATGGCACAATTGAACGTCAAAAAGATCGTTTATTAGCTCGAGGTTTTACTCAGCAACAAGGTATTGATTATGAGGAGACCTTTGCTCCTGTTGCTCAGATGCCCACTGTTTGTACTCTCATTGCGGTCGCTGCTGCTCATCATTGGCCCTTATACCAGATGGATGTCAAAAATGCTTTTCTTCATGGCTCTTTATCAGATGCTGTATATATACAACTGCCTCCAGGTTCAAATAATCATCTGGGACATGTATGTTTCCTTCGTCATGTTGTTTATAGTCTCAAGCAGACGCCCGCGCTTGGTTTGAGTGTTTTCGCGATGTCGTGCTCAAAGAGGGCTTTATAGAAAGTTATCAAGATGCTTCTCTGTTTGTTCGCACTACATCGCGAGACATAGAATTATTACTCATCTATGTAGATTATTATGCCTTATCTCAATCTGGTCTAGTTCATATGGTCATTCGCCCTAGTTGGAGACGATTGTTTCAAATTGTATCTTATCATTAATATACCATGTTAGGAGATATCAATCAGATCCCAATCTCTAATTGCCGACTTCCATTAATGGTCAATCTACACATATCAACTGTACCATCCCGTGCTAACGAAGCACTACACGTGGTAACACTTGCCTCCAAGTAAATACCTTGTAAGCAAAGTAACTACTTCAAGGGCCACGTATACATCACAACAACTTTGGCTGTGAGGATGGTGACACATGTAGTGGTTGGTTTGTCCTAGGTAATTAATATAGATCCTCTTCCTACTTAAGGTAAAAATAAGCTAAGCTAAGACGTGATAACCTTTGACTAGGCTCACCTCTATCGACTTGGATTAAGGGCCATCTTTCTGTAAAACCCTAGCCTATTTACTTATTGCTTATAAACTTTTATCAAGGATCTGGTATAGGTGTCAGAGGGACGTTGATGGACATCCCACCATAGTCAATCTGATGCTTTTTCTGTGTTCTTAGCCCAAGTCAGGCAGACTCAATAACACCTAGACGTGAAGACCAACTTCTGTCATCAAAGCTGATCGAGGGGCCCTCTGTGGCAAGGTCCAATCTCATAGACTCAAATCCTATAAGTTGATTTCCTGTGTCATCACTAATATAAGAAGTTTAATATAACTAAATTTTTTGAATTAATATAACTATTTTTTCTCTCTAAATAACACATCATAAACATACTATGATAAGTTTCTAATAACACTTTATGAACATATTAGTACTCACAATCAAATGTTACATAACTTTTTTCCGGTACATCTTCTCTCTTTTTTGCATTTTCTCTTTAATCTTTTGAAAACACGTATCATTTTATATGGACTCGATATTTTATATTTTTACACTAGTTAAAATATGACAAATTCTTGTCATACGCAGAACATGTAGAGTCTTAGTTTTATAAATACTATTTTACTAGTTTCTGTAATTATTTTTGATAATATTTCTCAGTTGTAGTATAACTTTTATTTTAATATCTGAAGGAGTCACACGAAGGAGAGGAAGGAGGTTTGGATAAAAAATGGAAAACCATACTGGATTCGTCTTCTACGTGTTAAGAGGACTAGAAAGAACATAATCGGAAGATTTTGGGCAAAAATTTGCAAATGTCTGATCCAACGTATAAAATCGCAAATATGATATTTGTGAAGGATCTATATGTGACAAATGACCATGGGTCGGGGTTATTGAAGCAGACCCAAACCCGTTAGTTCAACTGGGGTTCTTCTCGGGTTAACGGGTTCCAAGGGCCATCTCCATCCTCTTCCTACTTTCTATCCCTCCTACTTCACTCTAAACCCTAGCGTCTCCAATCCAAAACCCTAATCCCAGATTCTCTATCTTCGACAGTTCTGCGATGCCTACGTAGGAGGATGCCTCCTGGATTAGGGCTGCTTCTGAGCCTCCATAGATCGACGGCGACGCCATTGAATCGAAGAGTTAATTCTTTGCCTTTCTTGCTGAGGCGTTCGATTCTTTCGTCTTATAATGGCGGAGATTTTAGGGTTCGGAGTTGGGTATCGATGCAGAGAGGTTATTGTGATTATTATGCGGTTGAGCAGTTTTCGGATGACGAGTATGAGTGTGAATTCGACAATCAGAAGGTCAGAGTTGTTTTTTTTCCCTTCTAATGTTGTAAGGATTTGTGAAAGATTGGTTTTTGATTATCTGGGTTCTGTAATCTAGAAATGACTCAACTTTCATCAGTTTTTGAAGAATGCTGTATTTGAATTTCTTTTGAAAAGTTCGACGTTTGATTGCTTGGCTTGATTATTCCTTTTTCTGGTTTTAAAAAAGGCATTTGCAGATAGAATTCCATATGCAACTTTGATTAGAAAAAGATGAAGTAATGGTCTATGCACAACGCTGAAGTGTACTAGTTTCTTGAGAAACATTCATGATTCATATCAGCATAATTTTAGCCGTTTGATTTGATTTCCCTAAATAAGGAGTCCCAATTTGATATTTATGTATTTGGCCTTTGCTCTAAGAGAAGGCAGGCTAAAGCTATCCAGCCTATCCTGTCCTTTTCCTGTAATTTTGTTTGCTGAGAAAGTCTGCAGCCTTTCTCAGAGCAGGGAAAAAAAGATTTATTCAGGTTGTATTTCAGTTTCTTAGTGGAATTTAACAAGTAATAAAGAAAAAGAGTGGATTTTGATAGGTTTTATTTTTGGAAGATGTGATGTAGCTAGTTGTTGAAAACATACTGTTGGCAAGACTTATTTCACAGCACAAAATGAACATGAATGTAGTTTAGTTTGCAATTTGACTATTGTAATATAAAGTCTCTACCTAATGAGGCAGTGCATGTCTATTTTCAGCCATCTTCCTCGGTGGCCAACATAGATGAATGGAGGTTTAAGCTTAGCCTTCTTTTACGCAATAATGAAGAGCAAGAGATTATCTCCAAAGATAGAAGAGATCGCCGTGATTATGAGCAAATATCTAACCTTGCGAAAAGGATGGGCCTTTATAGGTATTGAAGTTTTTGTTCATTCTTTTCTTTCTTTTTTCTTTTACTTTGATTTCTCCTAGTGTAATCTTTACAAACATTGCATGTTTAATCTGCTATATTTGTCTATCTAGTGAAATTTATGGGAAGGTGGTGGTTGCTAGCAAAGTTCCTCTGCCAAATTATAGACCTGATCTAGATGATAAAAGGCCTCAGAGAGAGGTAATTCCTTGTGTTGCTTGTAACCCAAGTTTATTTATTCTGCACTTGAATGATACTAAAACTTCAGAGCTTGTTAAATAGGTGGTTATCCCTCTTGGTCTTCAAAGAAGGGCTGAGGGTCTACTTCAAGAGCATCTTGATAGAAATCTGGTGGTGCCTGGAAAGCACAATGAGAGTTTAGGAGTTAATGTTAATGAAGATATAAGACTGGACGAAAATGAAGATTCTTTGGTTGATAGATCAGTTATGGAAAAAATTCTTCAGAGAAAGAGTTCGAGAATGCGGAATGCGCAGAGAGCCTGGCAGGTTAAGCATCTATTTTCATTATATGTTGTTAGTTAGATATTTTGTCCGTAAATAAAGAACTAGTTATTTGATGTAGAGTTCTCTTTGCTATGTTAAGGCAACCAAATGATTATTTTCCTAATTATCTGGCTCATAATTGGGCTACCTCTTGTATAAAATTCAGCAAGTTTGTTGGTTTAACATGCAGATCTTTGGTTATTACATGATGGTTAATCTGGGACCTGAGCTAACTGTGCTGTCATGCAACTTTAACAGGAATCACCTGAGGGTGTAAAGATGGTCAAGTTCAGGACATCTCTTCCTGCCTACAAGGAAAAAGATAGATTATTGGCATCCATTGCACGGAATCAGGTATAACTTTTAGCTGAATACTTCTCTAGCAGATTATTTTGATCTGACTATGTTAGCTGGCAGCTGCATCTTTTAGCTTTTAAATATCTTATTTCTAGTGGATATCAAAACTCAAAAATCATATTGGACGAAGCATTTTGTCCGGGTCACAAGATTTTGAATATTCAATTTTCATGGCCTGCCATATAATGTTGAACGTAGATTATCTCTGTCAAAAAGCTTCTAATTAGAATCTCATCCTCCAAGATACATGCATATTCATGTGACTTGAAGTTGCTGCATTGACGTTTTTGGTAATATTGCTCCTTTTTAAATGAGTGAGGTGGTAGCATCTACACTCTTCATTACAGGCTATAGAATTTCTGCTAAACGTGTTTGCAGTCACCTGTGACATTTGCCATTACAGGGAAGTGGTTTAGTAACATTTACCTATTCTTAGTAATCCTGAAACTTATTGTAAATCAGATGTGGAAATTCTGAAATTTACTAAGACATGGTTGTTTGCCTATATTTTCAAGGTTTATATGCATCGTTAATCTTACCTGCTAAATTATTTAGTATCATTCATTAATCTCACCCACTTGGCTTAAGACAGTTAGATCATGATCAATTAAGTTGTGCTTTATGATGTCTTCATCATAACCACCAGTAGAAATACATGATTAGTTTATCACTGGCCTTAATTTCAATGGTTTTTCCCCAAATGGAAAATGATACTTTTTTTTGGCTACATTTTTGATGTTGCATATGAATGCCCACAATATAAATCCAGAAACTTGCGTGTCCCATTGTGAAAAGTACTCTGGTGCCTCATTTCAGTGAGTACCATACTCTTCATGTAAATGCTTTAAACTGCAACTGATAGGTGAGTTTGTTAATGAATCGTGTTGGTGGATACCACTTTTACATGTTTAGAACTTCTAAGAAGCACTTCACTGTTCTTGATATAGGCTTGTAAGATGATTGTTATATGAAATGAGGAAATGCTACCTGTTGCACTCTTTAATAACAGTGACCTAACATGGTGTGCATTAGAGTTGGAAAAGATTTGGATGTGTGTTTTTCCATCTGATAATTGATATTTTGTGCTTTGAATCTTTGTCATGTAATTATCTTCTTCATTATAAAATATCTCAAATTGGTGACTTTTTTGGGATTAGGACCTGATGTTTGCATAAGTTAAAAGAGGGTCACGTTTTTCAAATTTCAGTTCTTGCTAGATAAATAACCACAACAATTTGTTATATATGTCAGATTAATTCAGTTAGGGGATTCCAAATTAATCTTTTATCACATTTTCATTTCCCAAGAGTAATTCTTTGGTATCATCTTTTATTAGGAGCTCAGCCTCCTGTTTTTTATTATAGATGAACTGTAGTGTCGCTAAAATCATGTAATGAGCTACATTTTATTTCCAAATAACCGAGGAGGAAGAATGAAATGAAGTGTATTTTTGTTGAAGATTGAGGCCTTTTAACTGTTTTTCTCTCTCTCTTATATTATTTTCCTCTTTTTTTCCCTTAACTTAGGCCCAGGAAGTAGCTATTGGTCTTCATGGAGTCCATATTTTCTCAATTGAAGAAGCTGAGTCCTTCTTGTAATCTCGCAACCCATGGTTACGTAACCTTGGTATTGGAACAACCTGGTTCTTGTTTAGCCCCAATCAAAATGAAAGAGATGGATTCTAATTCATCACTAAACTAGATAAACTCATGTTAGCTTTCGCCGTCTGTACATTCCTTTGTCCTCCAGTTGTTGACGACACATAACATTATTGCTCACTTTTAGGCAAGCACTAGAATTTAAGTTTGTATATGAAATAGGATGTGCATCATTTTTTGGTACGCATTCACATTTATTCTTGTTTCCTCTGACAGGTGCTAGTGATTTCTGGGGAAACTGGATGCGGTAAAACCACCCAGCTTCCTCAATATGTGTTAGAATCTGAGATAGAAACTGGTCGCGGAGCATTCTGCAACATCATATGTACCCAACCTCGAAGAATATCTGCTATGGCAGTTTCGGAAAGAGTTTCCATGGAAAGAGGGGAGAATCTTGGTGAAACAGTAAGCCTTTTATCTTTGCATTAAATATTTTTATGTAATCTATCTTTGATGTCCATATCCAAAGATGATTGTTACAGAACCTTTTGTTCTAGTTTCTATACAACAATAGTTTTTGTGGTAGGTTGGTTACAAAGTTCGATTAGAGGGAATGAAAGGAAAAAATACCCATCTGCTTTTTTGTACCAGTGGTATTTTGCTGAGAAGGTTGCTGGGAGACCGTAATTTGAATGGTGTAACACATGTCTTTGTTGATGAAATTCATGAAAGGGGCATGAATGAAGGTCTTCTCTTGCTTTCTTGCAATTCTTTCTTTTCTTTAATTATATGCAATCTCTAGGAACTTATGTTATTGTAATATGCAGATTTTTTGCTGATTGTGTTGAAGGATCTTCTTCCACGGCGTAGGGATTTGAGATTGATTTTGATGAGTGCCACTTTGAATGCTGAGCTATTTTCAAACTTCTTTGGAGGGGCGCCCACAATCCATATTCCGGTATGTCAATACTCATTATATTTGAAATGTTGTCTGTTAGTTTATATTTTTTGCATAAATATGCTTTATTCAATTAATAGGTATATTACTGCTTAAATTGAAGCAAAGTTCTCCATATGGTAATGCTTGTTATTACTGATATCTAGGTAGCTAATTACTTGTTAGTTGCAACACATTATAGATAATTCCTCTACAGTCGTGTATGTTGTATAAGCTAATCAAGTACTTCTCGGTATATATACCTTTACAAACACAAAAAACTATCAACAAATCATCTTTATTGCTTTATTGACATGTAGATCAATTTTTCATTTACAACCATGAAGATCTTGCGTCACATTTTCCTCCTAAACTACACCTTTTTGGAATTCAATAATATCTATGATATGATACCATTTTGTCATGACCCCACTTTCATGACCTCTTAGAAACATTAGAGCCGGACTAAAGCTGCTAACCCTTTTAAAATATAAATTCATGTAATTAAAAATTAGTAGGTCATGTCTCAATGTGTCAACACTTGATATCCCGGTTGACATGATATCCCCACTTTTATTAATCTCACGGTAGGAGGATATTGAGATGCAAAAATTTGGGCTTAGCGCTAAAATAAATTTTATAGAGGCACATTGAGCCCTGTTTAGATGATTTATTTCTGACATATACCAGTATATTGACTTGAGATGCATATGTTTCAATAAGGGGGTTTTGTTTACAAACCTAAAGTTTTACATTGATTTATCTTTAAACCCGATAACTTTCAAGTGCATGCTTAAACCCAAATACTAAGTTCAAGTTATGTCTAAACCCAAAATACAATATACCTACATTTATACATTGTATTGTACCAACAAAACACTTAAAACCCAAAACTACCCTCCTTCAGTTAGATCCTAAACGCAGAGCAATTAAATCCAAAAATTAAACCTATTTTTAATCCAGCTATGGCCGCGCCGCTCCTGGACTGAGGTAATTTGCCCTGGCTTCTGCCTTCGATACCTCCTAGGCAATGCTCACCCGGATCTCACCGCTGATGGCTACCAGTGGCCAGCAACCACCTCGCTCACATTGGAATTGATGCGACTAAAAATCGCCTATCCATTCGCTGTGGTGCCGCAAGATATGTACACAAATCCATGTTGACGGGAAAGAGGCAAAGAGTCCAATAAACCCTTCGTCATTCTCACAATTGGCGGTAGGCCACCAGATACACACTACTCTATGCGACAGTGTGGGAGCTGAGGGTTGCGCTAGTGGAGTAAGGGAGTGGTGGTGGCATGACACCGAGGGCGGTTGGACACTGAGAAGGGGCCGTCGAAGGAGTAAGGCTTGGGATCTAAGACTGGAGAAGAGGAGGAGGGCAGTCTCGGGGTTTGAGGTTTTTTTAGTAAAATACAATGTATAAATTTGGATATGCTATTTTGGGTGTAAACATAAATCAATCTAAGTAGGTGGGTCTAAACATTCATTTGAAAATTCTTGAGTTTAAAGGTAGATCAAGGTAAACATGTGGGCTTGGAAACAAAAACTCATTATTATTATTTTTGACAAACAGAGATGGATGATGAATTGTCCATTGAATTAACGAATTTTAGAAATAAAATAATTAGTTCCTTAAATTAAATTTCAAAGGGAATTATAATGATTTAGTGGTTGTGGTGCAAAGTCTAATTGCTTGTAGGGCAAGCATAATGTGGTTGACTTACAAAGTCCGCCACACACGTGTAGCATGAAAAGACATGTATATCATGTATTCTTGAAAATATAAGAGGACAAAAATACAAGTGTAGCATGTATTTCTAAAAGTGTAGCAGGTGTTGATCAAAGTGTAGCAGATATTGATCAAAATATAGCAGGTGTTGTTGAAACCATAACGTATATTTTTGAAAGTATAGTAGATATTTCTGAAAGTAGAGCAGTGAAAATATAGTAGACATTTCTGAAAGTGTAGCAGATATTGCTGAAAGTATAGCAGGAAAATACACAGGTATTACAGGAATTTCTAAAAGTTAGCAGGATAAAACACAAGTATAACAGGAATTGTTGAAAATCAGTGGTGTAAATAGCGCTCCATAGCAGGGTTATAGCGAAAATTATTGCGGTAGCAGACTTCAACCATTAGGCTATCGTAAATAGCGCTGATGAGTTGTGGGAGAATCTGCTATTTTCTTATAATCACGACAAATAGTGTGAAATAGCACTTAAAAGCGCTTTTAAACGCTATTCTTATAGGCTATTGGTTTTAAGATTTTAATTCCCTACCTGAACCCGACTCAAACCTGACCCGACTTTCAATAAAACCCCACAACATCTCTCTCTCTCTCATTTGTCTCTGTCGCTCCTCTAAAATTGAAACCTTAGCCGCCGCATCCATCCTCCTTTCACCTCCTTCGGTGAGCTCCTCGGATGAGCATCAAATTCTCCAGCGAGCATAATCTTCGAAGCTCCCTCCGGGTCTTGTTTGATCTCGAGCACTTCCTCGTCTGTTCCTCCACCATCTTCGAAGCTATCTCCATTCTCCACCACCTCTACCATCTCCGCAGCTCTCTCCAACCACACCACTATCTCCATTCTCTGTTAGGCTAGACTACAACACAGAATAAGGTAACTTAAGTCTCTCAAATCAAATTTTAATTATTTTAGATACTAATGTCTTTGGAGGCTTGAGAATCTGAGATTAGATAAACTGCATAACACTATTACAGTATTACCTCAATTAACAGTAACACAAAAAATAAAATGCAATGATGTGCCTTAGTAATGTTCAATTGATTTGAGTTATTCATTTTCTAAAAGCTCCATCTCCTCAATTAATTCACATATATGGTTTTTCAATAAATTTTCTTAATTTTTAGAATAGTTAAATATATTTAAATTTGACCGCTATTTAACTATGCGCTATTTGTCGCTATAGGCGCAAATATCCTTAGCGGTACCTTTCTTACGTAGAGTCATTATATATGTTATGTGTGGATATGTATGAAATATAGATTTTGCCGCTACGCGACGTTATCTGTTATCGATACATTGCTCAAAATATAGTAGATATTTATGAAAGTAGCTGAAAGTATAGCATATATTTCTATAAATACAGTAGGAAGTAATTGTTTTTCTAAAATCCGTTAATGCACAGTACCATTCATCATTCATCTGTTTGTCACAAAAGAAAAATAAAATATGCAAATTTTATCAAAGATAATCAACTTAAAACAAATTTAAATATAAAATTTGGACTCACAACAAACTAAAATCAGAATCATAAAATTAAAATTAAAATTCTGAAATTAAAATCAATAGATATCTTTACTATCATTACTTCTTATTAATTGTAAGAAACAATCATCGCGAATCATGAATGGTCATATAAAAAATTGTGATTTTAAAGTCATAGTTGTCTCAAATGCTTATGCGGATTTATGTCACAAAATTAGAATTTGAGGAATTGGGAGAATTTATATCTTAAAATACCAAAAAGAGATAAATCCCACCTAAATTTAGTATTTAAACCTTACGCATTAATATAGTTGAGGAGTATATAATGGATTTATAAGAGTTGAAGAAGGAAATAAGTGAGTGAAGGAGGTGAGAAAGAATTAATGAGAAAAGAGAGGAGGGTAAACTTGTATTTAAAAAAGTTTAGAGGGACCACATAACTGTATAGTATATTAAAGAATTTGGGTTTCAAGATAAATACATAAAGATGAATGAGTCTAAAGGTACCAAGAAAAGTTCTTGGGTTTAAATATAAATCAGGGTAAACCTTTGGGTCTAAAAACAAAAACCCCTAATAATAAGTTGTGCAAAATTTATCAAATATAGTCAACTTAAAGAAAATTTAAATATGAAATTTGATCTCACAATAAGTTAAAATCAAAATCATAAAATTAAAATCAAAATTTTTAAATTAAAATCAATATCTGATATGTTACTATTATTAATTTTCCTTAATTATAATAAACAATCATGAGGAATCATGAATAGTCATATGAAAAATTATGACATAGAAAATAAAAAATTAATGCTATAATTGACCCAAATGTGTATGTGGATTTGTGCTGCAAAATTAGAAGCTGAAGAATTAGGAGAATTTATATCTTAAAATACCGAAAAGAGATGAATTCTATTAAAATTTAGTATTTAAAACTTAGGTATTAATGAAGTTGAGGAGTATTTAATGAGTTTATGAGAGTCGAGTAAGGAAATATAAGAGTGAAAGAGGTGAGAGAAAATTAAATGAGAAAAATGGAGAGTTAAACTTGGATTTTTTTTAAAAATAAAAATTTAGAGGGGACCATGTATATTTGAGACTTTGGGTTTAAAGATAAATACACAAAGATGAATGAATCAAAAAGCATCAATAAAAGTACTTGAGTTTAAACATAAATCAGGATAAACCTTTGGGTCTAAAAAGAAAAGCCCCTTAAATAATATCATGCTTCTCTAGAAACTACTACTTTGGTTTTGCTCATTATTTCTACTCTGAAAGGTAGAGAAGTCTTCTTATCCAACTTAGAATCATAAAGAAAGCATTAGGGGTTTCACATCTTATACCCTTAAATAATATCATGCTTTTCTAGAAACTACTTTGGTTTTGCTCATTATTTTACTCTGAAAGGTAGAGAAGTCTTCTTATCCAACTCAGAATCATAAAGAAAGCATTAGGAGTTTCACATCTTATACACTTATCACATGGGTATTACAATCTGGAATATGATTCCGATTTGCTTGTAGATAGATGAGAGAGAAGTTTTATATCAGGAGTCTGGATTCTAACTAATGTTAGTTGAGGGTTGCTACTAATCTCAAATTGTAGTAAAGGATTGCCAATGGCGTAAGAGTTAGGATTATGCCTGCAAATAGGTCCTGATATATCCGAGCTGATCTAGGATGTTATTTGAATTAGATGCAAATCCAGATATAGAAATCCTAATCCGATAGGATATAGATCCGAATCTGGATACTCAAATACAAATTTAAACCAGATATGGATACAATGTTAAAAAGACCAAATCTGGATCCGACTATCTGAATATTTAATAAGATCTGAACTGTATTCTATAAGGAAAAAAGAACTTGCCCCCAATTTGCAAAAGATCCCATGTTACTGGTCGCAAGCTACATGATCGCAGACTCACAACCACCCCTATTTTAAGTTTCCACACCAAAAATCCCTATTTTCTTTTTTGGGTAGACTTCTCCTCATCAGATTCTCCACAGGGCGGTGGCGACGTTCTTCTACGACAACGGCTGTGACTACCTACCAATAAATCTCGCTCCTTCCCCCACCCCACCCCGCTTCTTGGTTTCTATAATGTTGGGCAATGCTTGATGTTAAACTCTACATTGTGATTATTGTTTTGTGCTTGCTAGCACATAACATGTTCAACTTGGACGACGTTTTTAAAGCTTTTAATTATATTATGAGTTTATATCCCGATCTTATTCGATTTGTGGTTGGATATTAGACTTATCCATACCCATTTCTCTTATATCCGGCCTGTATCCATTTCATATAATCTATCTACGAACTATATCTGCATTCATATATGTGAATACTCGGTAGTAAATGTAAATGAATATGGTAAATGCCAAATCTGATCACTATTCAATCCGTTTGTACCCCTACTTAGCACTGATTCTAAGATTTTGATTTTTCATGTTCTAAATGAATTATTTGCGATGGGTTAGGGAAGAGATGTGTGAGATGAACGCTTGATCTTTTGAGGCAGTCATATATAATGTTTGACCTGGTTATTATCTTTCCAGAGAATGGGGGTGAAATTTCCTGCAATTAGTATAGTTCTAAGCATGGTCTAGTTGACTAGTTATAATTTCTTTGTGAACTGGCTTATGAGAATGCCAATTCCTGCTATTATAAAAGGTGGTTTGTCACTTATAATCAGCCTATCTGGATTGATACTCTAAACTACTTATCCATATGGTGGCAATGGATAGGCAAAGCATTTTATCCTTATCATTGCCCAATTCTTTTTCCTTACCCTAACATAATTGGTATTATCCAATAATATATAGGGTAAGGATTAAAGTTTTTCTTTACCTTATAGGGTATACATGTAAAATGGGTAGAGTTAAAAGAAAAAGAAACATGTAAGCCCATTGAAAGACTAAAAGAAATAAATATCACCCCACAATTTTCTTCCCTGCATGCTACAAATAGATTAAGTATATAATATGGCACACAAGCTAATATCAATCAAATAGTCCAACTTCCTCATTTATTTATTTGTTCCTAAATGAGTATCATTTAATCTATGAGGTATTGTGATTACACGATAAATTACTAAAATTTACTTTATATTATATTAGTCAAGTAAATGGGTAATAGTATAAGGTAAGACAAGGTTTTAATGTCGGATGTCCGGGTTCATGTCGGACGACTGAAATTCATGTCGGAAATCGGGGATATATCGGGGGACATGGACTAAGTATCGGATTGTCATATCGGATGGTGCACATATTTATAATATCATGTCCTAAATGTAATCTAAGGATTTCTAAATTCAATATAAACATACTTTATAAATTTTAGAGGCGGTGCCGACGATGGATGGATTCCGACGTCACAGGGAGGCAGTACCGAGGCTCTTCTTCGTCTGCTCGGGGTCCTTCGGATGAGTCACCGATCACCCTCTTTCCTTTATCCCGACGACGGGATACCCTATCGCCCTTGGATTCGGTTAGGGTTCAAATTTCGGGGCGCAACAGGAGATGGACGACGGGGGGCCGAGATGGAGGTGGGGGAAGGGCGTCGTCGTTCACGAAAGGAGTGATGAGTTCCCAATTCCGCTGTAGCCCTAATTTTTCTCTTTTCTTTCTATCGGGTTCATAAGAAACCCTTAAACATGAGAACGAGTCAAATAGGTTTGGGTTTTTATCACTAAATCGAAACCCGATAAAAAAAAAAAAGATAAAAAGGCCATATCGGCCGATTTTTCAAAGCTGAAAAATCTGCCGATTTGCCCGATATGGCCCCGGTATTTTCGATTCGGCCCTGAAAACCGACATATGCGTTGAACACTCCCATGTCGTGTCGCTCAAGCCCTCAAACCGACAATATGCTTGATATGACCTCAGTATTTCCGATTTGGCCCTGAAAACTGACATATGAGTTGAAAACGCCCATGTCGTGTCACTCAAGCCCTCAAACTGACATGTCGGACATGTCAGCCGACATTTAAGACCTTGAGGTGAGAAAATCTTATGCAGTTATGCTCATCATAGAGGAAACTGATTACCATCCTTTTTTTTCCCGTGTCCTTAATATACTTTTCAATGGCTATCTTGGAAAAAGTAGTAACGTTTATGTTGTAATGATAAAGAGTAAACATCCAGTTAACATGAAAACAAATTTATCCTTGAGAGTCATGCTTATCCCCTTACATGCTTAATAATTTGGAGAGTTTTAAACATCTCTCTAGCTTATAATTGTTTCAGTGTAGTAAAATATTCTCCAAGTTAAAGGACTCCAACTAAACATTGGTTGAAGTTTAAAAATTACAAGATTGATATACATTCTGGCCATTCATTTTGTGCATGATTCTGAATTTCTCAAATTTCTAATCTTGATAATAGTGATATCTACTGTTTTAGCTCATGGTAATGTGTGAAGGACAGTGTTCCGTTACATCGAAATTCAATAGCAATTTAAGTTCTACTAGTTGGTAAAGACTTATATAAATAGTCCTGCATATGTTCTGGCTTCAGGGCTTTACCTATCCTGTAAGAGCACACTTTCTGGAAGACATATTGGAAATTACTGGATACAAATTGACTTCATTCAACCAAATTGATGATTATGGTCAAGACAAGTTGTGGAAGACTCAGAGGCAGCTACTGCCACGAAAGCGAAAGAATCAGATTACTGCACTTGTTGAGGTATAATTTTGCTGCTGGAGCATCATGTGGGTGTTTACTATGCTAATTAACAATTTTCATGATGCCATATGTTTTTTACTTTGCAGGACACACTTAAAAAGTCTACCTTTGAAAGCTACAGTTCCAAAGCACGTGATTCCTTAGCCAACTGGACACCTGATTGCATTGGGTTTAACCTTATTGAGGCTGTTTTGTGTCATATATGCCGAAAAGAACGGCCAGGTGCTGCATTAGTTTTTATGACAGGTTGGGATGATATTAATTGTCTAAGAGACCAGCTAAAGGCACATCCTCTGTTGGGAGATCCGAACAGGGTTCTGCTGCTGACATGCCATGGGTCAATGGCTACTTCTGAGCAGGTACATGTTCTGCTTCCACATGCTTTATACAGTCAGCATGATAGAAGTACCCAGCTAATATAGATGTCTTTCATTAACTTTGCTTTTAGGTAGAAAAGAGAACTCTTATGGATTGGTTAGTTAAATCATGCCAATGTAGGGCTCCCTTTGTGAGAAAAATTATTATTTTTAATCTACTTAAGTAGGCCACTGTTAATTATGAACTTGACACCTACTCCATGCATTCTATCTGTGAGATGATTATATTGTTGTCTGCAGGATTCTTTTATTGGAGGTACTTTTTTCATGCTTCTGTTGTTGTTTTTGTATGAACTACATTTATGACTACATTTACATGTACTTATTTTGATGAAAGAAAAGTCTTAAAAGAAAGTTTAGGAGGGGCGGTCAAGTAATATTGAGGGAAGTGAAGTTTTTATAATTCTGTAGTCAAATAATGTAGTTAAATCTAATCTAGTTTAGATTGAGAAAGAAAATATCTGAACATTCATGTATTACCTGGATATTCGTTATTACCTTTGGTTAACTGCAAATGAAATAAAAAATAAAAAGTAAAAAGAAGAAGAAGAAGGTAAATTGGTGGCTGTTTTGCCATTGTGTTTAGCATATGATATGTATATTCAGTGTATATTCAGTGTTTCTTCCACGAAGATGATGCAAGGTTAGATAAATAAATTGCCAGGAAGGAGAGGAAGGTTGAAGATACTAATAGAGAACATATCTGCAAATCCCATATTTAATGGGGGAATTTGAGAATTCCAAAATTTTGATCGTTAACTGTTTATTCTTTTTACTATTCTAACCATTAGAATTTCTCAGCGGAAGGTTATAAAAAATAAGTAAAGGAGAGTCTCTTTATTATCAAGAGGAGATTGGTCTCTCTCTCATGATATGTCTTCATATGTATATACAGACACGTGCTTATGTATGTATTACCCAGTGTTTTAAAAGCAATAGGCGAGGTCAAGGCGATGAGGTCCTATGTTGCATGGGGCGAGAGCCGCCAAAAAAGGCGATCGTCTGAGTGAACCGAGACGATAAATATTCAAAAAATTCACATACGTTGCAAATAATATGCAAATATCAATAAATAGCAAGAAGACAATTTAATCACAGGGAAATTTTTGAAGTCACAAATCTAATAAGTCATAATCATCTAAATGAAGTAGTAAGTAACAAATATCGAATAGTAACCGTTAACACAGTAACCGCTAAGACAGATAATTAAGCAACAAACTTTAAACTTTAAGGTCAAATTGTGGCATGTCCTCAAAATAATATAGGTAATAAAGTACATCTTAAAAGAAAAGTAAAAAATCGACAATGAAAATAGAAACAGAAAAATTCAATAACAAAAATAAATTTTACTTTATCAGACACCTTTCGCACCCTCAAAATTTCGAAATAGAGACAAAACACCTCGTGCCTTGCATCACATGCCTTAGGTGAGTGCTTGAGGTGCTAGGGCAAGGTCAACGAGGCTCCAAGGTGAGCTATTGAGGCGCCAAAAGGCGACCGGCTTAGTAACCTTCATCGTCTGGCAATATGCAAGGTGCTAAGTTACAAGATCGCCCCGCCTGAGCGCCTGGGGCACTAAGGCGCGCATCGCCTTCAAAACACTGGTATAACCTAACTATTAAACTGGGCACCTTATTTTTATGATTGCTTTACATGTTTTCCTCTAATTCCTATAATTTGTGGACATGGTTGACACCATTCTCTCACGCATGCATTTCAGGCTTCAAAGTTTGCCTCAGTAAACATTGAGTATGAAAGTTAAATTTAGATATCAGCTGCAAGGTTGCTGCTACTTCTCAGACTACTGATTTGCTTGCACTCCATACCCCCAAAGCACCTCAAATACAAAAAAAAGTGGGGAATATATATATATATAATATATAATATTATATATATATATATATAGAGCAAGGACTCCTATCAACTTAAGTTGATGTCCAACAAACTTTGTAGCCACACATTTATTAATATAAAACACCTTTTTATAATATACAAGGATCCCTAGGCAATATGAGTGGTTAAAAACTTTTGGCTGGACACACTATTCCTATGCCACTTAAGTTGACACAAGTTTTCACACACACACACACACACACACACACACACACACACACACACACATATATATAATATATATATATATAATAATATTATATATATATATATATATATATATATATATATATATATATATATTATATATATATATAAGGAAACCCAATTGCCATGCTAAGTCAAACTGACACTGGGACGGTACACTTAGACAGTATCTTCTGACCCATAAAAAGGTAAAATTAATGATGATGAACTTTAGGTGGAGTTGAGTCTGTAGTGATCCATGGTCAGAATAAAGGAGATCAGTTCAAACTTGTGGTTTTATTTTCCCTAACATTTGCTGGAATCAGATTGTGGAAGCAGCTTTAGATAAGCTAATAGAGGAGCAGAGCTATGGAAGATGATGGGGCTAGGTTAAAGCTCTCATAAGATACTTCCCTCTGTTTGAAGATCTTAGGCTTAATTGGGATATTACAAATGTAACCTAATCCATAAGGTCCATTATGATCCATTTAATTGTCTTGAAATAAAATCTCGTTTGATGCCTTAAACAATTGTTTGGATATTTTGATCATTTGTAACTGTTACTTTGAGTCTTTGAGGACTGCAAGCTATGTAGGAGGCTAAAATTTGCCCTACTATTTATTAAAGTTGTAAGTTTGCGACCATTTCACGTGATTTACTTGTTACTGCATTTATTTTAGGCCTTTATTTCTATATTTCTGATCGTTTGAAACCCTTTTATGCCTGCAGAAACTCATATTTGAGAAACCACCTCCTAATGTGCGTAAGATCGTTCTCGCAACAAACATGGCAGAAGCAAGTATCACAATTAATGATATTGTTTTTGTCGTCGATTGTGGAAAGGCGAAGGAAACCACATATGATGCTTTGAACAACACCCCTTGTTTGCTGCCATCCTGGATCTCAAAAGCTTCTGCCCGTCAAGTAAGATGCCATTCTTCTCAATAGAGTATTGTGATTCTTTTACAGTCCTCTCTCTATGGCTTGGTGGAGAGATTGATTCGTTGATTATTCTCTAATTCATATCTGTTCCAAACTTCTCTGCAATGCATTGATCTATGGACACTGGTGCACGGGTGCAGAACATCGGACATGAAGACACAATTATATATTGTGTATTTGATTTATAAAAATATGTATTGGGTTGTACTCATTAACAAAATAACCTAACTTTTGTCTAATTGATCTTTAGACAATTACTTCTGTCTGATAAATGAGCCGGTCAACTAAAAGCGGATCACAATACTGGCTAATTTATTTGTCTATGTCTAGAAAAGATAATTTGACCACTATAGTGGCCATCTGTTATAAGAGCATTTGTCGTTTAGTTGATTTAGAGCTTCTCAGAGCTGGTAGTACAGTATGAGGCTACATTATAACTAGAACATTGTACTGACAGACTCACACATGTTAAGGGTGTAAGCTGATCCTGTATTTGTTTCTAGGAATGACCCTGTAGTCTTGGTAGTTTGAACGTTGAAACATCTTTGGGCAGCAATGTTTAATGATCCTCTCTTAAGTGTTTCTAGGTTAGTTGAATAGTTACTCTCTATGCATGTCTATTAAATCTGGTAGCATCTTTGTGGGCTTCATAGTTTTAGTAGCTTTCCTTATTCTTTGATTTGTGATGCGGGTATGACATATGTTACTTTAAGCTCTACATAGCATGAAATAGACACCATACATCAAAAAACGATTTCCAGCGTCACATCACACCTGGGAGTATTTGCTGACTACTTTGATTGCCAGGGTCTCTATTACCATACACGCAAGAAACAAGTTTCAGGGTCTCTATGACCATGCATGCAACATTTGTGTATCTTAATAGAGAAGTGACGCACAATCAATGTATTAAATAATCAAAGTTATCTAGACTCGAAACCTTAGCTTGTCTCTAAATCCGTAAATCAGCCTATTAAGAGGAGGCTAAATACTAGCTCTAAATACATCAAAAATGCTCATTGAACCAATTAGTCATTATTGTTGTTCTTTGTTTCTTGGATCACAGTTTGGTGGTCTGAATCAGTTAAGCACCATAAATCTGGACGAAGAATTCAGTGACATTTTGATGGGATGGTAGTAATTTAGGTACATTAGTACATTGGTTTTGTTTCATGCCTACCGGAGTATTATCTCAGTGCTGGGCTGAACTACATTAATGCTTTCATCTTCTGAAAGTACTATGCTTCAGTCCTCATCGTCTAGGTTTTTGGTTCTTCAAGCATTCTATTTGCTAGTGCCACTGACCAAGTAATAACACCTTTATAGTCATGCAAGAGTTCTAGGGTCTGAATCCTGTTTGTGTTTTGGCCTTTTCCAAGGAAAGAATTTCCACTTAGATGCTTTAATATGGGACGTAATCTTTTACTTTTGCACTCCAATTTTCTTAAAAGGTCACCAAGCGTTTCTGTGAAATTACCTACATTCATCTTGAATTCTCTTTATCTACCATTGTCATTGCACCTAGAAATGTGAATATGTGGAACATATATTAGTGTAATATTGTTGGTGGTATCCAAGGTTCTTGACCTATGTTACCCGGGTACTTCAATCATGAAGCTGTACCCGTACCCGACACGTACCCAACACTTATCCGTATCCAAACTTCATGGACACTCTGTGGATGTATGCATACATTTACCCAGACATGTATTCAATTATACAATATATGTTTTAATTTAAAATACTTGTTATACACTTCTTGGACCTATATATTATTTTATAAAACTCGTTAGACATGGGTCCGGTTGTTTCAGACTATATTCAAGTTAAAAAACTATGATTTAAAAGGGGTGGTTTGAGCGTCTAATTAAAAAACAAGTAGTTTCCAATTTATGATAATCAACATGATAAAAGATAAAAGAAACTTAAAAATAGGATAGGAAATTAAGTTCAAATAGCACATGAATTGAAAGATAATGATCTCATGTAAATTATTAACTTTGACATGTATGTGTAGCCGTGTCCCCGTATCCTACATTTCACAAATTTGTCATGTCCCATACACGTACCCGCACCCGTATCGGTACCCGTACCTGTTTCCATGCAAAGATGAATTGCCTGACTCATGTAGACGCAATATGTGAATGACGTCATTCGATGTATGATTGTACCTAAAATTAGCTACGTTCATCTTGAATTCTCTTTGTCTACCATTGTCATTGCACCTAGAAATGTGAATGTGTGGAACATATATTAGTGTAATATTGTTGTTGGTATCCAAGGTTCTTGACTATTCAATGACTTATACTGTTATACATAAGCTTCAATGCAAAGATGAATTGCCTGACTCATGTAGACGCTATATGAAAATGATATCATTTGATGTATGATTGTACCTCAATTTATTCTGTACTTTGTTATAGCCGGTATTTCTTTGTTATTTATCTATTATTTATCTTATTTCCATGTGATTTGCAGAGAAAAGGTAGAGCTGGCCGTGTGCAACCCGGGGAGTGTTATCATCTCTACCCTAGATGTGTATATGATGCATTTGCGGACTATCAGCTTCCAGAGCTTCTCAGGACACCTCTGAACTCCTTGTGCTTGCAAATAAAGAGTTTGCAGATTGGTACTATAGGGGAGTTCTTGTCAGCTGCATTGCAGCCTCCAGAAGCGTTAGCTGTAAGTTTACTTCCAATTTATTCAAAACTTATTCAAACTAGTTTGGGTACAAAAATTGGGGAATTGGTTGCTGACTTTCATACTTATGTTTTAGACAGTCTGCACACTTAATTATTCCTTTGTTTATATGATATCCCTAAATTTATGATGGTTTGTTGCTAATATTGCTCAGCATCAAAATAGACGGTCACTCAAAAAGGTTATCTTCCATTCCCATCTTATTAGATAGATGGGCCTAATTTATAAACTTTTACCAGTGCTTTATTGTAGCAATCTGGTTCTATTGGATAAACCTATTATGGAATAGATGGAAGAGGGAAGGAAACAAAATACTAAAGGAAAATTATGGGGTTGCATTATGAATCCTAAGTACTTAGTTGCTTTCTAGGATCATGGGTCATTTTGATCCTACGACCAATCTTTTCTTGCTCCTTAGATATCTCTTAGTGATGGAATTATGTTAACACATGTAGGTGCAAAATGCTGTTGAGTTCCTGAAGATGATTGGAGCATTAGATGAGGGGGAAAATCTTACCAATCTTGGTATGTTTGTTCACAGCATATCCTGGAACAGGGATTTATGTGGATTGATATGGTGGTTTAATGTTCGATTTCAAATATTCATGGCTTTTTGTACTCTGCAGGACGATATCTCTCAATGCTTCCTGTTGATCCGAAGCTAGGGAAGATGCTCATAATGGGAGCTGTTTTCCGGTGCCTTGATCCTGTTCTTACAGTAGTCTCGGGGTTAAGTGTTCGTGACCCTTTTCTGTTACCTCAAGACAAGAAGGATGTAAGTTAAAGTTTGATAACTAAGTACTCTCTATATTCTTGATGTGATTTAGATTCCCCATCATGTTGATGTTTGCATTTTTTAGGATGCTCCTGTGAATGTATTTTTTATTACAGGACAGTAATTCCCATGTATACATGTGTTTGTGATTAGATTCAAATCATCGTTGACGTAGGCATTCTGTTTACTATATTCCTCTTAGTCGTCCTAATGCTTCTCGGTCTTTCTTTGTTATATGTTTATACTTGTGTCTTTGACTGCTCAAATGTGATAAGTGGGTCCCCCCCTCCTTTTCCTGATTTTCTGGAAAGCATGATCCATGCATTTTCTAGTCGTCTCTGACTTGAAAATATAGTCAATTGGCTGCTTCTTTTTGTTTGTGCGTGCGCGCGTCCAAGCATCCATGTGTTGAATTTGACAGATTCTGTTTTTTCCCCTTCCTGAAAACAATTCTGATCTACTGACTTACCCGCATTTTTACCTATTTGCTGTCCATCCTAAATGATTTTTTCTCTTTTCAGTTGGCAGGGACAGCAAAATCAAGATTTTCTGCAAAAGATTACAGCGATCATATGGCTCTTGTCCGTGCATATGAAGGATGGAAAGATGCAGAGAGGGAAGGATCTGGTTACGATTACTGCTGGAGAAATTTTCTCTCTGCCCAAACCCTTCAAGCTATCCATTCACTTCGGAAGCAATTCAATTTTATTTTAAAAGATGTTGGTTTACTAGATGCAGACTCCAACACAAGTAACAGCTTGAGCCATAATCAGTCACTGGTTCGTGCTATCATCTGCTCTGGCCTCTTTCCTGGGATTGCTTCTGTCGTGGTAAGTTATATACTTACATTAGCAATTCTAGGAGTTTTTGTATCAGATGTATTGTTCCTTAATTACTCCATTGACTGTAACCTCTGTGTATAGCACAGGGAGAAGTCCATGTCTTTCAAAACAATGGACGACGGGCAGGTTCTACTTTATGCTGTAAGTGCGAACAAAAGATTCTTTATACATGTCTATTCTCTGTTTTCCCCTTCTTTACTCCGTTTACTGCTGTATGCGTTAGTTTTAAAAGATCGCCTTTTTTCCTCTGTTCTTAGCACATACCTTCAGTGGATGTATTATACAGATGGTGGGACGAGCGGGAGTGAAGATACTTAAATACTATAAGGCATCAAATAAGCATCAACATGTTAACCTATTAATCACATTATGCTGGATTTATTGATCAAAGCAACTATAACTGCAGTACCTTGCCGTTGTTACTAGAGTTGCCTTTGTTGGTTCATCTTTTATAAGTTATCAGGGTATATCTGCTGTCACTACAAGTGTTCTCCTTTTTCCCTGTTGAACTTTTTACAGCTGCAACCATCCATATCTTGGATGTTCTCCTTCTTTTTTGTGCGTACTTAGTTCTGCTGAATTCACTCTGGTTCTTGGACCCATGCCGAACTGCTAAGTTTCACAAAATAACGCGATAATTACATATCATGTCACTTCTGAGACCGATCGCCCCTGCTGTTTTCTTGTATACCAACTTAGATGATGAGTTTGTTTATATCAAGGATTTACTTGGCCGTCAATTTTGATGTTTACCTCGTGATTCCTTGTTCATTTTATCTGCATTCTTTTTTCCTTTAATGATTTGTGACCTATTGTTTCTGTAAGTTTAATCAAGACCTTGTCATCTTGTGTTATTTATCAAGTCAATATTATGAGATTCTGTGTGGACAATATAACATACCACCTCTATTGATCATTAGTTACATTAATTATCGATGAGTTCATCTATGATAATGCAAGCATATGCGTTTGTTGGCACACTCACCAGCTCCCACTAAACAGAACTAAAGGAAATTTAAAAAGTGCGTACTAGGGATGGCCTATCAAAACCAATAACTTATTCAACACGGAACCCAACAGTACCCTTATCAAGCTCTCCTCTAGTTGAGGCAATGTTTTGTGGGAGGGTTTGCAATCTATACTCCTGTATGCAGTGGGCACACTAACCTGATACTTCCTCTGACCAAGTTTGATGTGTGTGACAGATCTGGACACTGCATGCTTGTCAATCTGTGTCCAATAGTTGTAGATTTTTAAAATTTATATTTACCTCAAATGTTATTGTAAGATAGTGTATGCTGTGCTAGTGTATGCTGTGCCCCTTGACAAAAGCTAACTGTTTTGTAGTCCAATTTAGTATTTATATTTTTAATATAGTAGCGACAAATGTAACTATTTTCATGCGTCAAACATAGACGAAATACACACATATAGTTGTGGCGTCGTGTTTGGACTTTGAAGATTGGCGTGATCGGCACTTGTGTTCATATCGTATCATAACACTTTTGTCCATTTTTACATATAATAGATTGTCTATTCAAGTCGACCTCATGGAATTGGGTTACAAACAAAGGTTCCGTACATAGGGTGTGGTTGGATGCATGAGACTAGGAAATAAAGGACAGAAAGAAAACATGGAGAACTAAAGTATTGTGGTTCTTCAGTTTCAATGTGGTTCTTTCCCTTCACTCTGAACCGAGCACAAGATATGCATTTTGATGAAGTGTAATAGAATTGTGAAGCACAAGTAAGGAAATCACATATTTTATTTTGCTAGTTGTGAGCTACTTATCATGTTACGTTCTAGTTTTCACTAATTGAAAATTGGAAGATTATTATATTCCTTTCCATCAGTGTACAAAGTGCGTTTTAAATGATGTCTGATGAATTTAATGCAGTGTGATAAAAGTCTCCAGCACAAGAAATGAATTTGCACACATTTTAGCTTGCTATTTGTGGGTTAAAGTGAATGAAGCTGTAGACATCATGTTCAGTTCTAGTTTTCATAAACTGAAGATTGCTGTATATACTGTTAATGTTCCTGATAAATATGTGCAATGTTCTAATTGAAACATGATATGCATTTGCTTCAGAACTCTGTTAATGCAAAATACCAGACGATCCCCTACCCTTGGTTAGTATTTGGTGAGAAAGTCAAAGTCAATACTGTCTTCATCCGTGATTCCACTGGGGTATCAGATTCTATATTGCTCCTGTTTGGTGGAAATCTTCTTAAGGGAGAAATGGTAATCTCCTATTTTCATCTTTCAACAATTATGAGTTAGTTACTTGAACTTTGTGATCAGAATTCTGAGGTACATGACATTTTTGTATCTAGGCAGGGCACCTGAAGATGTTGAATGGTTACATCGACTTCTTCATGGATCCAAGTTTGGCCGAATGCTATTGGAATCTTAAGGAGGAACTTGATAAGCTTGTCCAGAAAAAGGTAAATCTTACTCCAAGATTATGACATGGCGCTTCTTTAAAAATATAAAACCTATAGACCATAGAAGCTAGTTTGTTCCCATTCTGAAAATATTGATGCCAAAGAATGATGGTGGGATATTATTAAACTGAGAGGAATTATGTAGATAGAGAAAGACTATAAGAATTATGTAGATAGAGAAAGACTTGAAAACTTTAGGCAAGCATAAAATTGGAAAGATAAAAGTTCAACTTTTTTAATAATATGGCGGTGAAAAGATTGCTAAAGTAACAAATGGTGTGACGAATTGCTAAAGTTCATTAGTTTGAACAGAACTTGAATTTTTTTTTAAAATTATACGATAGACAGAGAGTTGAAAACTTAGGAAAGCGTAAAATTGGAGAGAAAAAAGAGTGACTTATTTTAATCTAGTGGGGAAAAGGTTGCTATATTAATAACAGGTGTAATGAGTTGGCAAATTTTTAAATACAGGTTGTTAGTTTGGGAAGAACTTCTAAAAGTATTTTTACTTAAGAATATTCAACTAACGAGAAAATAGTTAATTCACATGATTTCGCTAAGAAATTGCATCCAAATACACTCATTATGATGGGAGATGGCACTACAATAACAAGTAGCAGGTGTAACAAATAATGGATTGTTAAAGTAATAATAGGCGTAATGATTGGCAAATTTTTAAATGCAAGACTATTAGTTTGGGCAGAATATTAGAAGCATTTTAAATACAAAGTATGTAACTAATGAGAAAATAGCTAGCTGACATGATGACACTAAGAAATTGCATCCAGAAATAATCATCATGTTGAGAGATGGCACTGCAAATAACAGGTACCCTCCTTAATACGCTATCTCTGAGCTTTCACAAGCAGAAGTTAGTATTTTAGAAATAACCAAGTGTATATAGATTATTCACACAACTGTAGAATTTGAGTAGTTTGTGGATATATGGTACTCTAGGGAATGTTGGGGTCATTCCTGAACCTCTTTTTCATTTTTCGAGGGTTAATTCTGAATAGACCCCCTGTAGTATAAGACAATTGCGAATGGACCCCCTGAGTGATTTTTTTTTGACTCTTAAAATTGTTAAGAAGGTTTAACCATTTAAGGAGTTGGATAGATCCCCTATAGTTCTGTTCTTGATGATAGACCGCTGGTTGCTAATTTTTTAAAGACTTTAGAAGGATCGAAAAAGTTTGCTAAGGGGTGTATTCGCACTTGGGCCAATACTACAGGGGGTCTATTCACCACAAA